TCTTCATATGGGACCTGTTCCAAACCTCTGATCATTTTAATTGCCCTCCCCTCTCCCACCCTCTCTCTTCCCCTCTCCCACCTCCTTTTCCCAGTCTCCCCCAGTTTTGTTCAATAAAGAGTGATTCTATTTTTGAACACAATTGTCCTTTATTTTGTACATCAGGAAGGGGGGCTAGGAAGGGGTAAGTGGAAGGAGGTGAGGGAGGAATGGTGTACGAGCCCCCGATGGGGAGGACTGGGGTTCCAAGCCAGGACTGCTTTGCAAGCGGGGCGCCCCTGAGAACTGTCTGTCCGGGGTGGGGGTCGGGTCCCTTTAAGCACAGCCCTCGGCTATCCTGAGACAGCAGCTCCACGCTCTAAGTCCTCATCTGATGCCCTGCCGGCACTGCTTCCGGCCATCCTTAACCCCGGTTCAGGGTCCACTCTGTGTGGACATGCTAGTTCGAATTAGCAAAACGCTAATTCGAACTAGTTTTTTAGTCTGGATGCATTAGTTCAAATTAGCTTAGTTCGAATTAACTAATTTGAACTAAGTTAGTTCGAATTAGCGCTGTAGTGTAGACATACCCCTTGAGCCATTGATCACTACCGATTGAGCCTGACAAGCTAGCCAGCTTTCTATCCACCTTACAGTCAATGTATCCAATCCATATTTCTTTAACTTGCTGGAAAGAATACTATGGGAGATCATATCAAAAGCTTTGCTAAAATCAAGGTAGATCCTGTTTACCAGCTTCCCCATAGCCATAGAGCCAGTTACCTCATCACAGAAGGCAATCAGGTTGATCAGACATGACTTGCCCTTGGTGAATCCATGTTGACTATTTCTGATCCCTTTCCTCTCTTCCAAGTGCTTTAAAATTGATTATTTGAGGATCCTCTCCATGATTTTTCTGAGGCCTGAGGTGAAGCTGACCAATCTGTAGTTCCCTGGATTGTCCTTCTTCTCTTTTTTAAAGATGGGCTCTACATTTGCCTTTCTCCAATCATCTGGGACCTCACCTGATTGCCACAAGTTTTCAAAGATAATGGCTCTGCAATTACATTGGCCAACTCTGTCAACACCCTTGGATACATTAGATCCGGCCCCATGGATTTGTATATGTCCCACATTTCAAAATAGTTCTTAACCTGTTCTTTCTTCAATGAGGGCTGCCCACCTCCTTCCCTAGTGCAGCAGTCTCGGAGCTGACCTTGTCTGTGAAGACAGGGTAAAAAAAGCATTGAGCACTTCAGCTTTTCCCACATCATCTGTCACTAGGTTACCACCCTCATCTACTAAAGGCCCCACACTTCTCTGGCCACCCTCTTATTGCTAACATGTCTATAGAAACCTTTCTTGTTACCCGTCACAGCCCATGCTAGCTGCAATTCCAATTGCGCTTTGGCCTTTCTGATTACACCCCTGCATGCTTGAGCAATATATTCATCATATATTTCCGTTTCTCGTAAGCTTCCTTTTTCTTTTTAAGCTCACCAAGGATTTCACTGTTAAGCCAAGCTGGTCACCTACCATATTTGCTTTTCTTACTGTGGGATGGTTTGTTCCTGTGCCTTCAATAAGGCTTCTTTAAAATACAACCAGCTGTCCTGGATTCCTTTCCCCTTCATGTTAGCATCCCAGAGGATCCTGCCCCTCAGTTCCCTGAGGGAGTCAAAGTCTGCTTTTCTAAAGTCCAGAGTGCGTATTTTGCTGCTTGCATTTCCTTTGGTCAGGATCCTGAACTCAGCCATCTCATGATCACCTTGCCCCAGCAAAGGACCACAAAACAGCCTGGTCTGCCTTAAGAGCTTTGCCAGCAGAACTACGTAAAGGGTGCAGCTGCTAAAAGCCCCAGTGCAGACCCAATTAGAATGATACAAAGCACCTTGAATCAATACAACTTGGGCCACGTCTACTGTCCAGACCCTGCCAGCATTGCTCCCTGGTCGAGGGGGCAAAGAGGTGTGATTTTTGTCCCAGCAAAAGGCCAAGATGTAGGCTCAGCCAGGTGGGGGGAAGGGCAAAGGAATAACTGCCCAGAGCCTGGTGATTCAAAAGGCTCCCGGTTGCCAGTGACCAGAGCCCCAGGCCCTTTGTGTCACCGAATCCCCTCACAGCATGCTCTGGCACTGCTGAGGGCTGCCTGCGGTGCACCCAGGTAGTGCTGAGGCTACTGGAGGGTGGAGGTGGGTTGGCCCCAGCTGTCCCTTCCACCTGAAACCCCACTCCTTCAAGGGGCATGAGTCAGGCCTCCTCTCATCTTGCCCAGGGGCCTGGTGAGTCTGTCAGCCTCATTGGAGGCAGCTACACTAGCAAAACTGCAGCTTTTACTGGTATAACTTGTTTCAGTCCTGGGGGGGTAGGGTAGGGTGTATTTTGACGTCACTGGAACAGTTCACAGCTTTGCTAGCTTCACAGGGTATGTCTAGACTACATTATGAGGTAATCATATCAAATTATGATGTAATCATATCAAATATATTTATTTGATTTAAATAAATTGCCGCTTCATTTTCCTATGTCTAGTAAACTCATCTACATGGCTCCGTTAACGGAGCCATGTAGTCTAGACATACCCACAGTGTCCACACTAGGCATGCTTTGCTGGTATCGTCTACCCGGGTTCCTAACCCTGATCATGCAAACAATACTCTGGTAAAACACTCCTAAGTGCAGACATAGCCTTATTTTGCCTCGTTGAATCAGCATGAGCTATACCAGTATAGCGGCTTCTGTGCTAGGGGGATGTTCTTGCTCTAAATACAATGGCATGGTTAAAGCAACAAAACTAATAAGTGTAGACAAGGCCAGATTTTCCGGGTGAAATCCCAAATCCAGGCAGGAGGCTGCTCTTGCATACCAAGAGACTCTGTCATAGCTGGCTGGCTGCGGCAGGGTATGAATCCAAGACCTGATAGTCAGGCTGATGCTACTTTTTCCAGTGCATTACTGTTGCGTTTTTCATCACCTCGCACAGTTCTCAGGCATCATTTGTTTTTCTTGCCTCTTGACGAGCACAGAGATGATTAGCGTTTCCTAGCAATAAATAGCAGTTTTCTTTCAGTTCTAAATAAAACTCTGAAGCCCATAATTGTCACTAGATTATTCATTTCCCAGTGACGTTTGTTTGGAAGCTGGACAGTTGTTTGACATCAGTGTTCTCTGCTTTGGGAGGAAAGTTTATGAAACAATTAGGAGTGGAAGGAACCCAAGACCCAAGCCTTTGGCTTGGCTCTTCCTGCCCAGCTGCAGGCTCTGAATTCCAGCACAGGCAGGAATACCATTTTGGCCTTTGCATCACTGCCATTGAGCACCGGTTGTTTTATATAATGGAAGGTGCTGTAGAAAATGGGGGAAGTGATAGGTCCAGCCAGATTGCATGAGAGCCTCCAAACACACCGAAGCACTGAAGCAGAGGATGCCAATCATCCCAAATGCCACTGAAACAGTCCTTCTTTGGAGACGAAGCTTTTTAAATTGAAACTGCAGAATGGTCAAGGTCCCATTTTTTATAGAGGGGTCTGACACTTCCCTGAAATATCCCCACACCTGAAGCATGCCATGAAGGAAAACCATCTCACTGGGGGAGATTGGCTTAGCAGTTGCCTTCAGCTTTGGAAGGATGAACATTGGTGAACCTAAAATGTCTTTCCTCTCAGATTACACCCCGTACACTTGGCAGGCCTGTGGACAAGGATGGAGGACCTGGATGTTGTGTCAGGACCAAGTGACAAAGGGTTTGACAATCCTATATTTGACAAGCCAAGCAATGGAGCTGTAAGTGCCCTCACTTTGTAACCCTGCAAGCCCTTTGCATGTGGAACTGCCATTGCAGGCACTGGGCTGTAGGGATTTGGTTGGAATGTCTACTAAATGGAGCATCTAGTCAATGAGGCTATGCAGACTAGAGCAGATGTAAGTCCTACGTATTTAGTGGTGATTCCTGTTGAGCTCCAGAGAGAGAGCTCTGTGCTCTTGGATTGTCCCCTCGCTCCTGGGTGCTACCTCATTGCTGTAGATGTGCTGTGCAGCTGGTGACTGTGCTGGCCATAGTACGTGGCCGGGGGGCTTTTACAATGTAGGTGTCTAGAAGTTCTCCAGTTTCACACACCCACTATGAGCGAGGCTTTCAATGGAGCAGTAGGCCTGCATCCCGAGTGCTCTGCAAGGATGTGTGGAGGGCCAGTCCTCTGAGCTAGCAGCTGTAGTGAGGTGCCTGACCACTAAGTACAAAGGATAGCTGAGGCGTTTCATTTTCTGGCTGTGGAGTGGCAAAAATGAGCTTTGCTGTTCCTGAATCCATAGTGCCTTAGACTGACATTTGTTCCTTATTCCCACACATGCCCCACTCTCCTCTTCATAAGTCTGTGACCAAAAAAAACCAAACCACTCCCTCTGGTTTAGCAGGGCTGTGACGAGCATGGGCAGCAGGAGGGGAGAATCGCTCCCGGAGGAAGGACACTTGCCCCAGAAAGAGCCATTAATTACCTAGTGTGTGGAATTTGCTGTCATAAGGAACTAGCCAAAAGCTTGGCAGGTTCCACAGGAAGCTTGTCCTTTCTAGGGATGAGAACAACCCATGTTACGTTTTGTAATTACCAAGATCGGAAGCCTCACACCTGGGGGCAAAAGCCAGGGCCTGGCTGGATGGGCTAAGGAGGAATGTCCTGTGAGGACAGCTCAGTCCATAATGATCAGCTGAGGGATTTCTTGCGCCCTCTCACAAAGGATCTGCTGCCAGTCACTGTTGAAACAGGATATTGAGCTAGATGACTCACTGGTCTGAGCCCGTCTGATCGTTCTCATGTGAACTATGCAACTTGGTGACCTATAGTGCACAGTTCCACAATGCCACATTGGATTTGCTTCCTCTGGTAAGTCTCCGAGCTCCACTTTTTTTCAGCACTCTCCTTACGCATTTTCTCTCTTTCTGTTGTAGGAGTCGCACGGTCCATGCCCAGGAGAGGAGGCACTGAAGGGGATGGCTAGTAAAGACAGTGGGGTTTATTTTATTAACCCATTATATGATGAAACTGAACTTGTTGCTTAACAGCAGAGACCTGAATGGTCCCAGCCAAGTGTACGATTGGAATATAATTTCATGGAGGCTAATAATTTACCAGCTATAGTTATCCCAGGATAAGTCTTTATAAACTATCTGTTTGATCTTGTGTTTTTCTGTGACATGCTGAGTACCTTTCCTAGACTGAAGAAGAGCTTTTTGTGGCTCTGTAGCATGTCTCATTCACCTGCAGACGTTTGGCCAATAAAGATATTACCTCTCCCACCTCGTCTCTAACGCAGTGGTTCCCAACATATTTTATACCACGGACCAGCAAACCCATTCACAAACTTTTGGCAGACCGGTAACATTGTATTTGCATATTTGCATATTCATTAAAGATGCAAAAGCCCCAGCCCCCAGAGCCACTGCGAGCAGCCAGAGGCAGCTCTGCCAGCCCCCTGCTCTTTAAGACTTAGAGCACCCCACCAGACCCCCAGTGCCAGCCTCCTTTTTCCAGAGTCCCACTGCACCCCCTCCCAGTGCCAGCCCTCAGTCCCCAACATTACCCCATATTTGCATATTTGCATATTCATTAAAGATGCAAAAGCCCCAGCCCCCAGAGCCACTGCGAGCAGCCAGAGGCAGCTCTGCCAGCCCCCTGCTCTTTAAGACTTAGAGCACCCCACCAGACCCCCAGTGCCAGCCTCCTTTTTCCAGAGTCCCACTGCACCCCCTCCCAGTGCCAGCCCTCAGTCCCCAACATTACCCCATCCCCAGAACCCCCCAGTGCCAGTTCCTCACCGCAGATGCCCCATTTTCCCCCAGGTCGCCCCCCCCTTAGAGCCCCCTACCCTTTAAGACAACCCACAACTCAGCAGTCCCAGGGCTGGGCACAGAGAGCTGGGAGAGGGGAAGGCGGCTGCTTGGAGTGACCCACGCGGGGACTTGGGCAGAAAGTGGCAGGTCCCAGTGCATGGGGGCAGTTGCACAGGGATTAACAGTTCAGAGCTTGCGCACCTGCGGCCCCTGGCAGTGGCACTGTGTGCTGGAATTGTGCCACCAGTCGTAGGCTGCTCCCACCAGCCCGCGCAGACTCCGGGCCTGGATAGAACCCAGCGGCTTTTGTGGCTCCCTGCTGGCCAGGCAGAGCACAGGCGGGGCAGCCAGTGGATGGGGAACCCCTGTAACCCCATCATGGTGCAGCCTGGCAGGGCTGGTATCTGCACTCGGTGTGTGTGGGGCCAGCGATGTGGCTGTGGCCTCCGCCTCAGCACTGGCGGTTTGTCCCGTGGCAGCTTCCCCTGCACATGGGCCTTGGGCTGCCCGCTCTCTACCTGCTATCAACACGAGCCCCTAGCCCCTTACCTCACTTCCCCCCATGCCATGCCTGGCTGCCACATGACCTCTCCCCAAGCTGCTCCACGGGAAGGGCCTTGCCAACCCCTCCCGCCACACTGCGAACCACCTTTGGGAGGAGACCCCAGCGCTGGTTGGCTGAGAGGCAGGGCAGGACATGCCTCTCCCAACCACCATGGCAGGAAAGGAAGCACTGGGCGATGTTCCCCAGCCATGGGCCCCAGAGCAACCACGGCCCAACAGCTAGCGGTTCACAGGCTGGCACCAGTCTGCAGACCGGTGGTTGGGAGCCGCGGCTCTAATATCCTGGGAAAGACACCACGGCACCATTATTACTTTCCACATGACATTTTGGGGCCTAGTTAAGTGCCAAATGAAGAGTCAGACTAAGAGACACAACTCTTCCACAGCTCCTTTGGACATGGTCTCAGGAACAGTATGGGAAGTTTGTATCTTCATTGATTTTAAGTCCAGAAGAGATCATTATGATCATCTAGTCTAAACCCCTGCATAACACAGGCCAGAGAACGTTCCACCTGCATGGTGACTTCTTATCACTGGATTTTGAGCTCTGGTACCGCTCAAATACTCTGAGCACTCCATGAAGGGATCCATGTTGTGAAATCATTACAGAATAGCTTAGAAATAGGCCGGTGTTGGATTCTGCATTTACAGATGCATGAAAATGTCTGCACAGTTGCAATCTACTGGGATGGCACTAGAGATGGTTGGCAGATGGAAGTCGCTTTGCTAAGTTTGTTTTAGGCTTGAGATGGCCTCATCCTGATCCAAAGGCGTTGGAATGTGGTTGTGTGTCTGTCACCGGTGCTGACACAACAGGTGTGTCTAGACTACAGGGTTTTTTCGAAAAACCTTCCCCTGTGTCTAGACTGCTGCTGCGTTCTTTCGAAAGTAAATCGAAAGAATGTGGCAGTTTTTTGACTGCGGGAAACCTCATTTTACGAGGAAGAACGCCTTTTTATGTAATGCAAATTGTGCTTTTTCTAAAGAGAGCATCGAGACTGCCTGATGAAAAAGTGACTTGCTTTTTCGAAACTACTGGTTGTAGTCTAGACGCTCTTTTTCTAGGTATGTCTATGCTGCAATTAAACACCCATTGACTTGGACTTGGGCCCAGGGGCTGTTTAACTGTGTTGTAGACATTCAGGCTGGAGCTGCAGCCCAAGCTCTGAGATCTTCCCACCTCACAAGATCCTAGCTTGAATGGCTACACGGCAAGTAAACAGCCCCTTATCCTGATCTCCAGTCATCTGGCATGGGCCAGCTGCAGGTGTCTAATTACCATGTAGACACACCCTGAAAGCTCAAGATGACAGAGAGCAAAAAAGCCTGCACCACCTATCTATCTATAGAGGAAATGAAGCATGGTGTATCAGACTCAGGGGTATTCTAGGCCTGACTGTTCCTGGGACAAGTCACTTTCTCTCCTGGCCTAATTCAAATGGTAGGAGCTGCCGAGCAGTGACTCCCTGGACAGGAGAGTTGATTCATTGATTTAAACAAACAAATTACCTTTAAAAAATTTCCAACACGGATAATGTTTGTAACAAATGAGAACTGAACGATAAAAAATAAAGAGACAGCAGAATGCTTCACCTGCGCTGGGGGCCCCGGCAGGACTGTGTGAGAACACCACTAACAAGCCAACGAGCCTTCTGGGTACCAAAAAGGAAGGAGCTTGGAGGGGTGGGGAGAGAGCACGAGACAACGACTGAACGCTGCCAAGCATCAGCCTCGTCCCAGCACAGAGTTGGGGGCAGCAAGGCCAGCGATCTGATGGAACCGTTGTTGCCAGTGCTGTATTTCACATAATGCTAGATGCCATGGTAACAGGATGCTGCTGCTTGCCAAGCTATTACTCTACCAGCACAGAATTTCACATTTGCACTGGCCTTCTGCATCAGTGAGCAACAGCTCGTTGTTGGCCAGTGCGCAGCACAACACACACAATAAAACCTGCTCCTATGCAGCTGTGTGGTGCCCAGGTCAGCTGCCACAAGCAAGAAAAGCCCATGTACTCACCTCGCCCCCATCACAGACATGCACACCCATGTGGGCAGAGGGATGGCAAAGGGGGTTAGGCTGCTCCCCCCCCGGGTTCAATTCACTGCTGTGCCACAGGTGGCGGTGGGTAGGGGTGCCTGATGGTTTAACCAAAAATACCAAACCCTCCCCTGCAAAAAACAAAACAAAACACCAAACAAAAACACCGGGGAAAAATTCTGTTGAGGGAAAAAAAGGGGGAGAGTTGTTAAGCAAAACAAAAAGGACCCTGAGAGTTATTAAGCAGAAAAAATTAAAAGAAACACATTTTTGAGGCTTTTTGGACCTTACAGGCTGATGGCGGCTGTCTGCCATCTTGCTTCCCTGCGCCGGGCTGGACAGCTCCCTTCCAGCACCTGGTAAGCACCTGGGATTTTTGCCTCCTGGCTGGGAAAAAAATCAGAAAATACCGGACATTTTAGGTGTCTGGTATTTTTTTTTTTTTTAAACCAGACAGGAGGCAAAAATACCAGACTGTGTGGTTCAATACTGGACACCTGGCAACCCTATGAGTGGGAAAACTACAGCTTGGTGATTCACGCCCTTGGATTCTCAAGTTCAAAATACTGTTTGCCTGAGTCAGACCAGGGAATTGAATTTACAGCCGAGGCATGTGCCCAACCCCGATGTAGAACGGGGTGGGAAAGAGCGCCTCTGCTGGCTGGATGCAGCCATCCAAGCTGGTTGAGCTGGCTTGTGGCCAGCCCGCTGCTCTCCTGCCCCCAGGGCAGTTGAGTCAGTCAGTGAAGTCTCCTGCCCCGTTTTGAACAGCTGGCAGTTCACTCTAGGTACCATGCGCCCCTTGTGGGGGAGGGCAGCACATAGATTTCATGTACACCCATGCCCCCCCAGGCCCTGACTCTGTTGTGTGCAGCCTGTTGGCCAGCAGGGCCCTGTCCTCTGGCCCATTCCCAGGCAGTTCTGGTTGTCAGTTGCGGTGGCTGTTGAGTGTGGGCAGGTGGCAGCTGGTTATGTGTTGACGCTGCTGTCCACCCATCAGCTTTTTATGTCCCCCCCCCCCTCGCCCACTGTTCCTCCAGATCCCTGCTGGTGGGGAGCATCCCAGTGCTGTGTGAAAAACCAGCCCCTGGTCAGAGTGCTCAGCTGAGCAACAGCCTGTACAGCAGACTCCTCCCCTCCCGTCTGTCTCTGGCTGGGCCAGCTCCCCAGCCAGCTCAAGCCAGAAGGAGCCAAACCCTGCACGGGCCAAAGCCCCACAGCGTCCTGGCACGGGGAAGCCTCTCAGTTCAGCGCTGGCGTGGCGGTGGGGAAGTAGACTTGCAGACTCCATAGCAACCCTCGGGGCAGGGCTTAGCACCCTCTTCACACCCAATGCCCTGGGTTCTGCTCTCAAGGAGCCCAGCTGGCTAGTCTGGGGGGAGGGGCACGGCACAGTCCTGAAAGGCACGTTCCAGGCTCAGGGCCTCAGGCGGGCCCGTGAGTCTGTGATGTAGTGGGGCCAGGGTAGTGTGGCCACAGCTGTCGGCTCACAAGCCAGAGTGCTCAGTGGCAGCGTACGGCAGAGGGAACCATCGACCTTGCCACAGGAGCCCCCGACCTGAGCGCACAACTACTGCAAAGGCCCCCCCCCCCAGGACCATGAACATTGGGGGCAACCCTGAGCTCTCAGTCCTCACAAGGTGCCCCTGGAGGGCTCAGCAGCTACGGCACCAGGGGGCCCTGAATGTCCCAGGTGTTGGCCTTGGAACGTCTAGTCTCAGCGGGGGGGTCAGGAGCAGGCTTGAAGCTGCAAAGGTTGTGGTGGGGCCCTGGGGCTGACAGCTTCCATGCTGGTACTTGCTGGACCCCTACCCCTTACAATGGGCTCAGGTTATCATTCCACACACACCCCTCCCCCTTCC